TTTCCTTTTCCTTTCTTTTTCTATCCAAAACAACAGAAAAAGAATGTCACATGGCAAAGCAATTCGCAACTCAATTGACGGGGTGCCCTTCAATTAAAGGTTGTCCCCACTTGGGGACAATAATTTATGCTTCTTTAGAGTTGCATGCTAATCTTTTTATTAGTAATTTATTACTTTTCCCCTTAATTATTATCAAAGTTCACTTATTTTTCTTCTTTTTAAGTACCTAAAAAAATCTTTTTGATTTGTTGTATTATTAATAGTTTGAAGTTGAATGTTTGAATAGGTAGTGGGTATTTTTTTTTTATTTTATAAATTTATGTGCTCATTATAATATCAATGATAAAGGTCATACCACAAACCTCCCATGTTATTTGCTCAGTTGGAATCCCAAACGAGTAGAGGTGACTTCACTTCTTTAGCTTGCATGATGCAGAGGTCGGGCGATCATCATATTTTTTAAATGATATCAAGGCGAAAGCGACGGTAAAAGAATTCTCTCCACCGTCCACGAATACATATGCAAAACAAAAAGGTTGGAACAAGGTTCCAAAGCGTACAGCCACTTGCCCGCTTGTTCTTTAAAGTAAAATTATTATATTGGTGATACACACGTTTGCATGGATATATATATATATATATATTAAAATAATTTAAATATATAGAATTTTTTAATTTTGATTTACATGATAAAATGATTGGGATAAACCGTTTTATTTTTCAAATAAGCAATTTATATTAAGGATGGATTGACTAATTAAGTACATAATGACATTATTATTATTATTTTGACTTTTACTTTATATAATTAATGAGATTGACAGGAATGAACAGATCTTACAGACGATGTTACTGTCACCCATAAGCTTGGATAATTAATTAAAGATTAAAAAGACAAGAATTAAAGATTAAAGAGTGAAACAAGGGAAGCATGGTAAGGAGTAAAGAAAATGGGAAGGTTTGGTAGGAGAGGTTGTCGTTAGCATAGTGTGAAAGTATGAACTCGGAACTGAAGCCACCATGAATGCCAAGCACCACAATGTCTAATCAACTGCAGGCCCCCCGCCCCTTTCCCTCATTTCTTGGCGACAAGGTTAACGAGGTTAATAAGGAATGTCTAATGTTGAGTGTAAGGACGTGGAACGCATTAGTATTGTCCATCAACCGGCCTTGTAGCTAGCTAGAGTCAATTTTTAAGTTTCTCCTCGTTTCTTTTTCTCGTCTTTTTCTCTTTCGTTTTATTTGACTCTATTCTCTATAATTTATTGTGGAAATACATTTTATTTTTTAAAAGAGATTTATAAATTTATTAATTTAGACAATAAAAGATGAGAACTACTCATCAGCATTGTATGAAATTAAACAAAGATAAAAGTTTTTTATTTTGTTTTTTTTATTTATATTATTATTTTATTATTTATTTCTATTCCATTTGTTCATATGTTCTAAGTTTCTATAAATTTT